GGTTCCAAACTAGCTCGACTCAGGCTTAACCCAGTTATAACTGGATCAGGAAGACGCGTGAGCCGAACTGGCCAAAACGAGCCCATGGGCCAGGAGACGCTCCTGGCCGTGACATTATATTTCCAATGAAAAATAAATATTATAAATATATAAAAAAAATTGAGATTTATAATAATTGAAGCAACACACGTTGGAAACAATAAATGATCAACCAATTACTGTATGGAGGCGGCAAATAAGTGCTTAAAACTGATCAGTTATAAAATATTAATGGGAAAAAAGAAAAATAAATCAAAACTTGTTTAGGGTGGTTTAGGGTTTAGGGACGGTCGATCGTTGTCGCCCGCTACAGGACGGTATTAGCCGAGGGAGAAGGAAGAAGAGAGAGAAGAAAAAGGAGAACTTGGAGATCTGATGCCACTCTCCATCGACGATCCCAATTCGTCGTCGCCCTCCCTCACCAGGCGTCGCAGATGCGATGTCGCCTCCTAGTTTAAGGCAACGAGGCCTCGGCGTCGTCGACGACTTCTTATCCGTATGGGGAGAAGAAACCTCTACAATGATGTCATGGAGGCTTCGCGGGGAGAAGAAATGTCTTCTCCCCACACGAGGAGAAGAAACGAGGCGACGTCGCCTTGACGACGTTGCCATTTTTTTATTTTTTACTTTTTTATTATATATATATATATACATACATACATATATATACCGAGTGGTACGTCAGAGTATACCATTCGGCATACTCATACCGTACCATACTAAGCTGATCTCGATACTCCGGTACGATACGAAATTGCAAACCTTGACTTATACCCATAATATTAATTCTTTTTAGTTTGCAAAAAAAAATAATTTAAAGTATAATATAAACTTCAAAACAAAAATATTACAAAATAACATATCATGGTAATTGTACATTTGAACTTGCTTAATGTGTCTATGCAGAATATAGCACAAAACTATCTGTACCTATAATTAACTTGGGAAGCACAACCTAACATAGTCAATTAATGTTCCTTGTTTGGCATGGCTGGCAGATCCGTTTCTTTACACAACCCATAACCAAAGAAATGCTCTACAAATTGTCTGCTTCCTTCTTTCAAAAAGGAAGGAAGAGGAGAATACAGAACTCTACTCTTGCTTAAACATGAATAAATTTAATAAGGACATCACCAAGGTCTGTTTCCACTCTATTTATAATTTGTTAAAATTATCAAAAACAAAGCATGCCCACCCAGTTTCTAAGATCAACAAAAACACCAATGCAGTAATGTTTGTAAGATCAGCTTAGAGTAAAACCAAGAATCAAGTATCGAAACCTTACTTCCCAACTTCATCACAATCTAATTCCACATAGAAATAATGAAGAGAAAAGAACACAACACTCAACCATTTTCTAAAGCCACATGAACCACAAGACCCAAGTAATGAGACCCAAATACAGATTTAGGGTTGGCGTGAGTATCCATAAATAGAATAAGATAAAGCAAAGTGGAAGAACTATTCAATATTTCAAAAGATCAAGACACAATCATGAGACTAGACAATCCAATTAGTTTCATGTATACTGTTAAGTGCATAGTGTCACTTCTTTTTTCACAAAATAGACAAATAATACAATTTAAGATAAGGATAACTTTAAGTAGCACTAATTGATCCGAAACGAGAGCGACCGAGTGCTAGGGCAAGATTGAAGGCGACAAAAAAAACCCGATCAAGAATCAAAACTAGAGAACAAGATTGAATACGAACCAAAGCAATTGATCCGAAACAACAAGGCCGTGAGCTGGGGGCTGCCAAGAGCAAGAGAAACGCTCGAGGAGAAACCTAATAGCTTGCCTAGCGACAAGGTGGAAGAGGGAGGGGGAGGGACGAGGGACCGGGGAAGGGGGGGCTGCGATGGCGAAGGACGAAGAAAAGAAGAAAGAGAGATATACCAGGGAGTAGAGACGCCACCCAACTCTGCCGCTAGATGAAGAAGAAGACGCAGCAGCCGTCGTTCACCGACGAAAAAGCTGCAGCGACAAGAACCCCCGGTAGGAAGACAACGCCGTTGCTCCGCTGTTCACTTATGAAGAGGAAGATGGTCGACGTTCGCCGAGGAAACGCAGCAATCGCCGTTGGGGAGAGAGAGAGTGCCCGGTGGGAGAACAACCACCGCTTAGGGCACGGGAACGACCAGCAAGTGTGTTGTGGGGCGGGTTTCAGGGTGATTATTGCCAATTTAGCTTGACTCAAGTTCGACTCAGAATAGTTGAATCACGCCGGAACAAAAGCCCAGCAATAGCTTGACTCAAGTTCGACTCAGAATAGTTGAATCACGCCGGAACAAAAGCCCAGCAATGCTTGGGCCCAAACTAGCGCACAGGCCGAACGCTAGTTTATAAAAATATATAATATAATTAATAATTTCAAATAAATAAAAATTAACAACATTAAAATCAAAATAATATATTATTAATCTATTAACAAAAAATTAATCATTTCAAAATTCAAATAAACTTAATATTTAGAGTATATTGTATACTGAGCCTGATGGAGAAACGAGGAAGCAGCGGCGAGCGGCGGCAACGACAGCGAGAAAGGGAAAGGGAGCGGAAGGCACGAGCAGCGGGAGGCGCGAGCAGCGGCAAGGCTTGCGGGAGGCGCGAGCAGCGACAGCGGCGAGCGGCGGCAGTGGGAGCAGGAGCGACGAGCAGCGAGATCACGATCGGGATCGGGATCGGTAGTAGGTTAGGGTTGGGTAAGGGTTAGGGTTGGGGATATATCGGTTTAGTTGGTTCGATTGAACCAACTAACAACCGAACCAGACCTAAAATTCTGGTTCGGTCTCCTTGGTTTACCCAGGCGCTCGCCCGAAGCGCTTGGGCTCGGGCAAGCGCCCAGGCGGCGTCTGTTTGAAGCACGCCGCCTGGGACATTAGCGAGGCGCTCGGGCCTCGCCTCGCCTCGCCCGAGCGCCTAGGCGAGCGCCAGAGCGCCTTTTTCAATCACTGTGACAGCCTAGTAGTTGGATCAACATAATGCGTCGATCAAGATGGGATGTTTACCAGACGATTACTATTAGTAAGCTGCTAAATGAGATAGAGGCCCCATTATGTCGAGATTCGAAAGAGGAGTTGGCTCCTGACTTCTGAAAGAATAGCTGCTTAGCATGACAGGATACCGATATTATGGCTCCAAGGAACATGAGTAAATATGTTGAAGCTAGTTTAGATGTATACACAGTGTGATTATATAAAAGATCTTTTGTCTTTTTTTGTTTTCTCCTTCCCATCAAGTATGTTTGAAACTCGCAATCTTTGGGACATTGATTGATCTTTTTCTACCTACTTCTCTTTGGAGATTTTGCAGCCCCTACACCTTAATTGCTTTGTTATTCTTGTGTGTTCTATTGATCGGTTAATTGTTTTGCTTTTACTTACTGGTGAAATTTATAATTTCGGTGAAGTTTTGAGGAGCCAAAAGGTTTCAAGAAGATGCCATGGACAAGTGCATTGGAGTGCCCTGGATGCCCACCTTTGAGAGCCTTGACGACTGACGTGCTCGGTCTTGTAAAAGGTGGTTGTTGTTGCTTAAACATTACTCTTTCTTGAATGGTCTACATGGCATGCATTTCTTAATTACAACTCATGATGTGATATTGCAATGAGTTTTCAGTTGTCGAAGCTCATGGAAAGACTGGAATTCCAAAGGTGGTAGAAACATGGGGGCAGCCAAATGCTTCATCTTGTGTCCTTGCTGCTTCTTATTCTGATCACAAATCTGATCTGGTTTGTTATCACATTCTTTGTTGGATTTGAGTTATTATACATAAATGAATGCTATGACAATGTTAACTACTTAATGGGAGGTAAACAATCAAATCAAAGCTTATGTTATTCTCCTTTTGGATCTTCATGGCTTCTTGGTAGTTTTGAAGTAAACCAGAAATCGATCTTATTAGTTTCTCTTGAATATTAATGAAAGCTTCACTAGTTTGAAGCTAATATTCATGTTATGTTCTTCTTTCTTAAAGAAGCAGAAACCTATTTTGTGCCTCTTGTAACAGTTCGATGTGTAAAATATTCTTCTACCTTCTAGACATGACACTTGTAAATTGTTTGCTGTTCTTTGCAGCTTTTGGCTGTTGCTCGCAAGAATGGTTTGGTAAGTTATCATATATGAAACAAGAGAAAACCCTCTTTTTCTAGGTTGTTGAAACATGGGATATTCTATGAATTCAAGGTTCAGTGTCTAAATCCTATTAATGGAGAGGCTTTGGGCATCACTAAGATCGATCAACCCTTATCACTGAATGGCTCTCTTAATGATGATCATGTTGTTGGATTGCATCTCTTCAAAACTAAAGGAATCGATGTTCCATCAAGGTAACATAAATAAATGCCATAGTTCATAGCTCATAGCAGATGTAGCATTTTTTTGAACTTGTATCCGAACATTTTACCAATCTGCTGTACCTAAGATATATTCTGTAGAAACTTGTTCATGTGAAAGAGTATCACAGATGGTTGAATTAAAATTTTAGCACCTGCCCAATTGGCATTTAGAGGGTCAAACCTATGACACTATCATGTTTAAAAGACTGCTGCAGGCATACGTATCTGCAGGACATTGAATAAAAAAGTTCAGATAGATTATTCTTGCTTTCAGCACTTACTCCTGTATTTGACATCCCAAGGTTCCAATGTATATAGATAGTGAAACTTAATACGAAGGTTTATCTAGTGATTCAAGAGCAAAGCTTTGTGGACAAAGAAAGTTGTATTAGAACTAGAAGAGAGGAGAACTAGCTGACGTATATTCACAATGATTTTGCATATGCATGCATCTGTATGCAAGAATGGAAATTCTGTACATCTATCGAGTAAAATTTAGTTCATGGTGGTACTGTTACTTATTAACTTTAGTTGTGATCTCGAATTGCATGCACATTCTTATATTCATTCAATCCTTATGTTTTTCAGGTCAGTTTCATTACTTACCTGTCTGGAAAAGGGTAATGCTTGCTTGAGGTCCATTCCCGTCAGTGATGCGCCAGAAAACTCAACTACTGCTTCTCATATTACATGGAATGTATGCTCTTCTGGTAAAATAATATGTTCTTCAGTGGATAAAAGTGAGAATTATGCCTTATTTGGAGGGTAAGTTTCCGTAAGCTGTTAAAGAAATGTATATGAGTTTGTTGCAATTATATTCATGGGTGACAGCCTCTTTAATAAAAATTTGAAAGGTTGTTATATTGCCTAATTTTGGCCTAGTACTTTAATTTGTGTTTTCTTTTCTCTCAGGAAGGGCATTGAATTGAACATGTGGGATCTTGGAAAATGCAGTAAGATCTGGAGTGCAAAATCTGTGAGTCACTTCATTCTTATTAGTGCAATTTAATGAGAGTTTCTGGTCTATTTGTATTTTGATTATGAAGATTCTATCGGTTTGCTCTTTGTCTTTTGTAGCCTCCTTCTAATAGACTTGGTATATTCTCTCCAACTTGGTTTACTGCTGCAACTTTTCTGAGTGAAGATGACCATAGAAAAGTTGTGGCTGGCACGATCAATCATCAGGTATGGCACTATGAAATATGTTTATTAGTTGTAGCTTACAAGCTAAAAAATGCTAATAGTTGGGAGTATAACTTTTATTGTAAGTCTTTCGACAACTTTTGCAATTGTTGCCATGAGATCGAGGATACATTTGAAAGTCTTAAGTTTGATTTTATGATAACAGTGCCTGACCAAACATTTTTACAAATACTGCTTGCACATTTGGAGTGTTAACCAACTTGTAGTTAATAAACAATTTTCTTCTGTTTATTGATTAATGTTGAAATATTCTTGACCATATGGTCTATCCTGGTTAATGAATCTTTTGTATGTGGTTAATAGTTTTTGACCCATTGCTTTAGAAGCTAGGACATGCTTATAGCTGAAAAATCTTATTTAACATTTCAAATTCCTAGTGTTGTTAAAGTATTGGGTAATGGGTAGTACCATTCATTTTAGTTTTTTGAATTGTAGTATTTACCGTTATTCTGATGCTTATGATTTTGAAATATCTGAATTTTCTTTTAATGGTTTCACATTTGATTCACCTGTTAGACAATTAATAATTAGCTTCTATCAATGATGAATTGGCCCCTGGTGATTCAAGTGATTCAGGGTTACTAATATTTAGAACTAACTCTTGATGTTGACTAGATGGCAGTCGATTTCCTTGTTTTCAAGAAAACTGATCGGATGCTTTATTGGTAAGTGCTCTGGAAGCATCAGATCTATAGCGAGACATCCAGAACTTCCCATGATGGCATCTTGTGGTAAGAAGTTGTATACTGTTAATTCAACATATTCAGTCAATTTTACTTCTACCATGGCACAAAATAGTGTTTTGTTTCCTCGAAAAAAAGGAAAAAGAATAGTGTTCCATGTTGGAAGTTTTTAGTTTATAACTCAGATATACCAAATTTAATATATTTGATGGTTTTCATTTAATGTAACTTTTCAAGCTTTCTATTGTTCTTTGATATGTTGAGTAACTCAGTTTTTAGTTTATAACTCAGATATACCAAATTACTGGGTGCATACTGTTTCATCTTGAAGGTCAATGTTTGACATACTTTTCATGGTTTATTGGGAGTTATTTTACAATCAATTTTGTTAAAGATAAACATCCTTCTGTTTGTGTTTCTAATGAAAACCAAAGTATTATGTCTAACATACGGCTCTCATCCTGCTCATCTTCGACTCGGGTTTATAAATTTATTACCATCCATGACCCACACAAAAAATTAATTGTACTAGCTGTCTTACCACTGCATGAATTTCCTACGAGAATACATGTATTATTATTGGCATATGCTTCAGTTATATTTGCAAGATTGTTGGTGGTTCATTTTTTTCATTGGGGTGAGATGGGATGGTGCAGGCAGGCTTGGGGTTGGGTTAGGTGATATCTGTCCTTGTCTTGGACTTAAATCGGTTTTGGAAAATTGTACCCCAATTCAACCATGATTATGCCTGTTTCCCTCTCAAATCTGTTCAAACCCGACCCAGTTGAATTGGATTTAGCCAAGTCCCCTGACCTTGCCTCATCTTTGACTCGGGTTCATAAACTTAGTACCATCTCCGACGCAATAAAGATTGATGTAACTATTATCTCATAGCTTATGAATACATTTTTTACTATTGATATATTCTTTAATTATATTAACAAGATAGTAGGAAAATTACTTATATGAAATTGCAGGGGTTTTTTTCTGGTGCGGTCGGATACGTGGAGAAAGGATGGGGGAGGCTTGAGATGGGGATGGGGATAGGTGATATTGTTCTTGTCCTAGTCCTGATTAGTTTTGAACAATTATAACCCAACCCTGGGTCCGACATCGACGTTGACCCAATCCCCAATTTGATTGGATTAGCCATTGGGACAGTACACCACAGGCCTAGTGTGAAATTCTCATTTCTAGCTATGTCATGTTGACAGATTTTATTGAAGAAAATATCTCAATGGTAGCAGTAAGCATCATCAAGTTTTAGGTAGTTCCCACCTCAATAGACTCGGCATCAGATGGACATCTTTTGTAATATTTGGATGTGTTGTTTTGGAAGTTCTCTTGTTGGTAATTTAAAAAGATGATACATTCTGAAAAATGTACTGCCATACTTTGGGATACTTGTTTGTGGTGACGTGTACCTTGCAAATTCAAGTTTACTTTTTACTAAATGTTAACTATAATTTTGAACGTGGAAGACGTAAGAGAATCTTTTTTTCTTATTTTGCTGGTCCTAGAGCTTTGACTGAAATTTCTTGTCATGTTTGAAACTGTAATATATATTCTTGCTATGAGTTTTTTTGGTAAAACTATAGTTAAGCATGAAATATTTTTAATTTCATATGTCATGTCTTCACAAGTAATATGTCAAACTATGCTTTGGTGGAAGCCTTAGTTCTTTACTCGCCACATTATGCATTAGTGTTTTGGTCGTAGGTTTATAAGGTCATGCTTAATGATGATATTGGTTTATAGGATTGGACAGCTATTTGCATGTGTGGGATGCAAAGACGAGACAACTTCTATCTGCGGTATGCTATAACTACTATCAGTTCATAAATGGATCTTGCTTCAACAAAATTTTCAATATCCATTGACTTACATATAATAGAACATTTTTAAAGAAGGGAATTTAAGTTTGGTAGTGCTTTGCAATTTAGTTCTTCCTCTTGGTTTAGATTCATGTTTCATGTAAAGCCCATTAATTTATAGGTTATACTGGGGTAACTGGATGCATATTGTAGAGGAATGCATAGGTTCAAGAACTTGTGCTCGCAAACAATTCACATTTTCTTTTGGGTTTGTATAAACCTATCATTGAGTATATTTCTTTTTTTAATAGGTTTTCCTCAAGCAACATCTAACAAATGTGGTGATCGATTCACATTTCTCAGACGACGAAGGTATTACTTATTTAACAATTTGGATTTGACGCTACAAATTCACATTTACATGCTCTATGGCTCTATACAACTTGATACTTCGGTAGATCCACATTTGAAATGAATGTGATATTAGTACATATAACTTGATTGACCTATTTCAAATAACTAACATGGTTAACATCTCGTGTGTCTGTTTCTGCTCCATACAAATAATGGATTAGTAGGTCAACTAAGTCCTATCTAAAACATAGCTAACCTCCATACAAATAATGGATTAGTAGGTCAACTAGCTTTAGGGTTAACACCGTGAACAACATGTACACCATGATAATAGTGTACTTGAGTGAGATTTTGAGCCAGTTCTGTTGAGGACATCTCCATTTGGTTAGGGTAGACTGTGACTTCCTTATAATCCCACTTAGGCAAATGGCCTGACAGGGATGCTGATAATGCATGGGCTTAGGCAATTTGGGTCACATGACAAGACCCACTTGGTACAATTTGGATCACTTGTTATGATGAACGAAGCCCTAAATGCATGCTAAATTTGAAATAAAACCCAATCAAAACATATTCCATTTGTTCAGATTTATATAGTTTGATAAAATATCAGGCTTTCAAGAGTATACATACCTGAGCAACAGCATGCCCATGTGTGCTAGTTACTAGTAATATCAGTCCATGGACTTCTTACATCATTGGCAATAAATTTACTGTATTACACTATTAACAGCAAATGATTTAGACAAGCCTTACCATCAGGACTCTTCTGGTTCCCGGTGGTCATGGGCATCTCATTAGTTATTGTTGAATCTTTAGTCATGGTACCTCCATTTAGGTTTGGTCAAGTATTCTACCACAAAAAAATCTGGCTAGCCTATGAAGTATTTGGGATAGGGTATCATGAAACACAGACAAATAGGCATGTTTTGTGGCAGTGCTTGTCAGCACAGTAATGTTGGAACAAATTGTACATGTAGATTGTTGGTAGCTTTTTACCTAAATCATGTTCTAGAATAGGTCGGTTTTCTTCTTTAATTATTGTTAGAAAATCTGTAAGTAACTCGTTTATCATGTAAAACAATTTGATAATGTCTCAAAATTCTTGTTAAACAGGTTCCAATGGCAATACTTGTGATCAACAAGCTGATCTACAAGTATGCGATGATACTGAAACCATAGATAATGATGAATTGCCAATCTCTAGCGGTAAGAAAGCATCTAAAAGGAAGAGAGTTGGCAAAGTCAAGAAGAAAAGAAAGACTGGGGACCAATACGATGATGAAACAAGTGAAGCCCATGTATTAAGTCAAGCTGAATCTGAAGACAATAGTGTCTTGCCACCCCTCAAACAGGAAAAATCATCAGATGAGCACAGCAAGAGGCTCAAGCAGAAAAAGAGCAAGAAGATTTTGCCATGAAGGAGGCATGCCGGCCATCAAGAAAGTTGTGGTGAAGGATGGGTGAGTCCGTGATAATTCCATAATTTGTGATGACCAGGACTGAGCCCACCACCACCCACCAGCTAGATGAGTCTCGCTAAACTTGCTCGAGATGTCCAACACTCAACGAAAGGAGGGGGGTGAAGCTATTAGAGTGTTGAATTTTTAAAGAGTGTTTTAGAATTTGAAGAGCTAATCAGATTCTTTGAGAATTTGCCTCGCACAAAGATCTTAAAAATAGTGGTTTCGAAGGTAAAATTAATGAATTGCATTTCTCTGTGGTTACGGAGAATTGTGATAGTTATATGCAATTAGAATTTTGATTTGCATATGGGTTACAGACAGTGATTTAAAAAGCGCTAGGCGCCTTTTCCAAAAGGCGCCAAGGTCCAAAAACGCCCGAGGCGCTAGGCGCTCGCCCAGGCGCTCGCCCGAGCGAAGCGAGGCGCTAATATATAAAAATATAAAATATAATAAATAAATATAATTATTTAAAATTTTAAAGAAAAATATAAAAATATATAATATAATTAATAAATATAATCACATTAACAGTATAAACCTGCTAAGGGAGAAACGAGGAAGCAGCGGCGAGCGGCGGCAGCGGTAGCGGGAAAGGGAAAGGGAGCGGAAGGCGCGAGCAGCGGGAGGCCTCGAGGGAGGCGCGAGCAGCGGGAAGGCTCGCGGGAGGGATTGCAGGACGCGAGAGGGCTTGCGGGAGGCGCGAGCAGCGGGAAGGCTCGCGGGAGGGCTCGCGGGAGGCGCGAGCAGCGAGCGACGAGATCGCGATCGGGATCGGGATCGGCTGCAGGTTAGTGTTGGGTTAGGGTTAGGGTTGGGGTTATATCGGATTAGTTGGTTCGATTGAACCAACTAACAACCGAACCAGACCTAAAATTCTGGTTCGGTTTACCCAGGCGCTCGCCCGAAGCGCCCAGCGCCTGGGCTCGGGTGAGCGCCCAGGCGGCGCCTGATTGAAGCACGCCGCCTGCAAAAGGCGAGCGCCCGAGCGCCTTTTGCAATCACTGGTTACAGAGGATTCTCCACGAGTCATTTGTAGGCAAAGTGATTGCTTGTGCACAAAAACCTGATTCACAAAATGCCGAATTATATAACTTGCAGTCCACACGTCACCAATATTTACCCATGACGATAACAAAAGATCTGACCCGCAAATACAAAACAAGCCATTGAAGGGTAAGGACATTTTGTTAAGTATGAAAAGATACAGCATAATTACAGCTGCTACACAATGACCTGGTAGAGAAAATGATAGTTAGATAGATGCATCATCAAAACAACCAACAACAACAGTGGAATCGAGTGTAAAATTAGAT